AACGCCAGCTCGCCCGGCCGACACGTCTGGGGCGCGACAGGACGGAGCCGGTTGGCAGGAGAAGGGGTGAAGGGGAGGAGGACGAGGAGGACGGGGGATGGGGATGCAGGAAGAGGAGGAGGAGCGGGAAAGGGGAGGAAGAGTGGAAGTGAGGGGGGTTGAGGATGGTTTGGAGGCGGGATGTGGGAGAGGGGGGGATGGTGATGCTGATGATCCTGATGATGCGGATCACGATTGTGATGACGATGAATGGGAGGATGAGGAATGGAGTGTGCAGGGGAAGAGGCGGAGGGGGAGGGGAGGGAGGCGGGCAGAGGAATTCGCCGACCCAACGGGCCAGAGGCGTGCTAAGATCTCCGGTAACTACTTAACAATACTTCTAGTTCGCGCGCGCGGGGCGGCCCCTGGGGGCCCCGGATGAAAAGTACCGCGGCCGATCCCCGGCTGACCCCCGGGCGATCCCCAGGGGGGAGGCTATTTTTCGCCACCCCTCACGAGGATCGTGGCCTCCGAGGGGGGGGCTACCACCGACTACCCCCCCTCCCGCCCCAAGGGGCCCCCAAGAGCCCCCCAAGAGGCCGCAGGGGAGCCCAATACGCCGCCAAGGAGCCCCAAGACGCTCCCAAGAAGCCCCCAAGAAGCCCCCAAGACGGCCCCACGAGGCCCCAAATAGCGCCCCAGGGCCGGCGGAATGAGCGAAGCGATCAAATAAGCTGAAGAGAAGACAAAACCACACACACACACACACACCCAGAGGAGGGGGCGGAGATGGGGACACCTGAGGAGCAGAATGGCAGGGTGATGGAGTGGCACAGGAGAACGAGGCGGATGATGAAAAGAGGCAGATCCATCCTGGTGAGCGTTTTCTTTATTCGGCTCTTCGACATTGGGCGGAAAGGGAGGGCGGGGGGGGGGTCGGGATCCGGATCTCTGCTTCATGCGGCTGCTCGTGGCAGTGCGGCCATTATGGGGGAGGCTCCACCTGCTTGATGCAGGCGCCAAGATCTACGCCACGGCGGGGGGGGCAGGGGGGTGCGAGGGCCCGCGCCGATCGGCAAAACAAGGAACCAGATACCGATCATATAACATACGGAAATCGAAGATGACCGCGTGATTCACTGGCGCGCCCCTGTTCCTTCGTGACCCTCTCCCGACCTCCTCCGCGACATGCATCCGCTGTCTGCGCGAGTGTGACATGGCGGCCAGGGCCCGGCAAGCTGCAGGCGTTCATGCGGAAGAGGGGGAGGGGAGAAGGAGGGAAGAGGACTGTAGACTTACACTCGACCAAGATACTAAGGATGCGCGGTAAGGATGCAAGGGCCTTGGAACGCCATGTTGACGTTTTCCGTGCGGAGCGCGGCAGAATGCCGAAAGATGCCGAATACCGAAGGGGCAAGGATGTGAGGGTAGCCTTGGAAAGTTGCCCCATCCTTACTGTCATGGTTGATTGTAGGTCGGGCATGTCCTCATACAGGCGGCTTTTGGAATAGGCAAAACGTATGCAACACCAGGCAAGAGAGCGTGACAAATCGTCACCGTACTAATGTTTGACTACCTTTGAAACTTCCTGATGTAGAGGAACATGCCCGACTCAACTGTAGACGGCGGTAGGCCAGTGAAGGAGTGAGGGTGAGGGTGCCCACGCAGAAACGTCCCCGATCAACTACCGCTCTACAGAGTGTTTTCCTGGCGCACGCCTCCTCCTCCTCCACCTCCGCCTCCTCCTCCTACTTCCCGCTCCTCCTCCTCCTCCTCCTCCTCCTCCTGGTCCTCCTCCTCCTCCTCCTCTTCCTCCTCCCCTCCTCCTCCTCCTCCTCCCCCTCCTCCTCCTCCTCCTCCTCTCCTCCTCTCCTCCTCCTCCTCCTCCCTACCCCTCCTCCTCCCCCTCCTCCTCCAAATCCTCCTCCAAATCCTCCTCTGCTGCTGCTGCTGGTCCTCCTCCTCTCCTCCACCTCCTCCTGTTCCTCCGTCCCCTCCTCGTCCTCGTCCGTCCTCGTCCTCCCTCCTCCTCCTCCTCCTCCTCCTCCTCCTCCTCCTCCTCCTCCTCCTCCTCCTCTCTCCCCCTCCTCCTCCTCCTCCTCCTCCTCCTCCTCCTCCTCCAAATCCTCCTCCTGCTGCTGGTCCTCCTCCTCTCCTACTCCTCCTGTTCCTCCCTCTCCTCCTCGTCCTCGTCCTCCTCCTCCTCCTCTTCCTCCTCCTCCTCTTAATCCTCCACCTCTTTCTCCTCCTCCAAATCCTCCTCCTTCTTTTCCTCCTCCTTTTCCTCCTCCTCAGACTTCTCCAAAAGGCCCCCGACAGGGCCCGCACCACACTTGACAGCGTTTCCCCATTTTCGGCGATGGCGGGCGTCATGGGGGGGGCCAAGGGGGGTATGACGTAACAACCCCCCACCATGTGGCTCCGGCACCACAGCCGCGCCCGCGCGCACGACGACGATGAACGACGAGCGACGAGCGACGACGACGACGCGAGCAGCATGTAGGTGGCGATCTGCCCCACAACGGCTGCGTACACCACAAAGCTCGCGTGCACCACAGCGCGCGTGTACACCACAACGCCTGCGTACACCGCAACAGCCGTGTGCAACGCAACGCCCCTGTACATCACACTGCTCGCGTGCACCACAGCGCGGGTGTACACCACACCGAATGCGTACACCGCAGCAACCATGTGCAACGCAACGCCCCTGTACATCACACTGCTTGCGTGCACCACAGCGCGGTGTGCACCACACCGAATGCGTACACCGCAGCAACCATGTGCAACACAGCGCCTGTGTATACCACAATGCTTGCGTGCACCGCAGCGCCTGTGCACACCACAGCACCGGTCTGCACCACAGCATCCGCGTGCAACGCAACGTTCGTGTACACCACACTGCCTGCGTGCACAAAAGAAGTAGAAGGAACATATCGGTGAAGATCTGCTGCGGACACCTAAACGCCACGCCAAGGAAGTGTTGATAATAGAATGCGACATTGTTCCTTCCTCCCTCTCCTCCACCTCTTCCTCGCCCTCCTCTTCCTCCGCCTCCTCATCCCCCTCCTCCTCCTCCTCCTCCTCCTCCTCCTCCTCCTCCTCCTCCTCCTCCTCCTCCTCCTCCTCCCTCACCCTTCCCCTCTGTCGTGCGGGTCGGCGCTACATCGCGCGTGCGCGCTTCAGCACCGCAGGATGGTCGATTGAATCCGTCCAGTTGGTTGTCGAACGGCCAAATTTGCTGGAGACTCCTGGACGCAGTTGGGAGGAGTTAAAATGACGCGGGCGGACTCGGGAGGATTCGTACATTCCAGCGGCGCTCCTTTAAATCCAATCCAAATATCTGTTTCGGAGATATCCCCAGGCGTTCAATTTTGTCATAACGGTTTCTTCTAACATTCGATCTGCAACAAGTGTACTCTGTTGCGCACGGTTGCTGTGGTGCACACACGCGCCATGGCGTACGCATGCGCTGGAGTGCACGCAAGCATTGTGGTGTACACTGGTGCTGTGTTGCGCACGGGTGATGCGGTGTACGCAGGCGCTGTGGTACACAAGTGCTGTGGAAACCGCACGCACTGTGGAAAACACTTGCGCTGTGTTGCACGCGGCTGCTGTGGTGTACACAGGCGGTGCGGTGCACACAAAGGCTGTGGTGCACGCAGGCACCGTGGCGTACACAGGCGCCACCCGTCCTCGGTCATTCCTAGGCATTCCCAGACGCCGCCGGCACGAAACGTGACGTCATCGGCCCCTCCCCCCCCAGATGATTGCTTTCGTCGGCCCAGCTTTTTTATAAAGAAAAGGTTCCAGCCGCGTCCGCGCGCACGACGAGGATAAGCGACCAGCGACGAGTGACGAACAACGAGCGACGAGCACGACGACGACGACGACGACGACGACGACGACGACGACGACGACGACGACGACGACGACGGCGGCGACGACGACGACTGCGGACCAGACTCCGATGCGGATTCCTATGCGGACACCTATGTGGATCCAGATGCGCACGGCGGCAGTGCCCAGAGCGCACTGGGGGGGGGGGGCAGAAGCGTCACGTCATACGGGGGGGGGGGGGGGGGCGAGGGCCATGACGCCCGTCATGCCCCAGGCAATAAAGAACCACTCTCCGTCCAATAGGCTTTATACCGACAGCCCAAGCACGGCTCTCCGTCAAATAGGCTTTATACCGACAGCCCAGGCACGGTGGCGGGATGGACCGAAGGACATGAGTCACAAATACCTCTGACCCCTGGAACCCTCTCGGGGTCCCGACCAGAATCTCGAGGCGGATCCAGCAGTGGCGACGGGAGGCCCCCCGAGGCCGGGAGAGGCGAAGGCGAGGCTGGGGCGATCGGCATCGGCACGGTCAGCCCGCATGGTAAGGATGGGCAGCCTTCCCGAGGGCACCCCTGCATCCTCACCGCGCATCTCGGAGGCCTGGAAATTGGCACCAACACCAGCACAAGAGGTTGCCTCCACATGGGGAAACTCATCCTAGATTTCGGCGCTGGTGGTAACATTTCGGTCACCTTGGAAGCCAATAGATTGCCACCATCACCGAGATTGGGATCGTCCTCCCTCGGTGGAGGCACACCGCCGATCTTGGTGTGGGTGTCAACCTCTAGGCCTGCCAGGAGAGGAGGAGGAGGAGGAGGAGGAGGAGGAGGAGGAGGAGGAGGAGGAGGAGGAGGAGGAGGAGGATCCTCGTGATTCGGGTGGACTGCACCTCCTCCTCCTCGCCCGCTCCAGCGACGGCGAGGGCGCCGCCCCCCCCCCCCCACCGCGTAGGGCTGCATGGGCATGCCCGCCACGTGCTGCGGCAGGGGGGGCGCGTAACCGTGCCGCTGCTGGCCCTGCGCGGCGCCCCCCCCGGGTGCTCGGCCGACCGAGTCCTGCCGCCGTGATGTTTGCTGCGGCTCCCGCCGCGAAGTTGGGAGCCCTTGGAGAAGCGCCGGGATGGAAAGCATCAGCCTTCCGCCCGAAGATCTCGGGGGAGGTCGTGGGCAGCAAGCACGTCTGCATCCGCGGCCCCGCGGGCGCCACCCCGCGGCCATACGGGGAGCCTGTTCGCGCCGCCCCGCGCGGGAGGCTGGCCTGGCCTGCCCCTAATGTTATGCTGTCCCCATCCTGCTCAAGGACAACATCCCGGAGATAATCTCGAGCAGAAGAGTGTCAAGAGAGTGTCGAAAGAGCGTCTCCCAGGGCCCGACACGTGAAAACCCTAGATTTGTGGGGTGTTTGCTTGATGCTCGAAATTCATTCTGGTGATCAAGGCTAAAGTCGGTTGGAACATCATAAACCTAATGGAAAAAACAATGACATACAGTCGGCCCGCATCAGAAGGATGCGCGACAAGGATGCAAGGGCCCTGGACGCCCAGTTCGAGGCTTCTCGAGCGGGGCGCGGCCAACGAAAGTGGCCGAGGATGGACAGAGGAGGCAAGGCTGCAGGGGTACTCTTGGGAGTGTTGCCCATCCTTGCCATGCGGGTTGACTGTAAAGAGCGAATGGCTCCGCGGTCGACTCGGCCGCCGCGGCCCCGAAAGAAGAGGAGGAGGAAAAGGAGGAGGAGGAGGAGGAGCTCGTGCTGGCCTGGCGAGGCCGCGGACGCCCGCTCTCTGGCGGGCGGCCTCGGGCGCGCGGGCGGCGGGGCTTCCCCGCGGGGCTTCCCCGTGCGGCACGAGACTCGCAGGCCCGGCGGTCGCGGCGGGAGCCCCCAGGCGGGGAGCTCCAGCGCAAAAAAAAAGGGAGGAGGGAGGAGAGGGAGGACATGATGCAGGGGGACGAGAGGAGAGGAGGAGGAATGCAGGAGGGAGGGCTGCAGGAGGAACATGAGGACCATGGTGAAGGGGAGGAGAGGGGGACGAGGGGGAGGGGCAGGGAAGGACATAAAGTCTGAAGATGATGATGAGGATGATGATGATGATGAGGATGATGATGATGATGGTGATGGTGCTGGTGATGGTGATGGTGACGATGATGATGGTGATGATGATGACGGCAATGGTGATGCTGCTGCTGCTGCTGATGCTGCTGATGATGACAATGATGATGATGTTGATGATTATGGTAATGCTGATGGCGGTGGTGGTGGTGGTGGTGGTGGTGATGGTGTTGTTGGTGATGCTGATGCTGATGCTGATGCTGATGCTGATGCTGATGCCGATGCTGAGTATGATGATGATGACGCTGATGATGATGATAATGATGATGCTGATGATGATGATGATTATGATGATGATGATGATGATGGTGGCGAGGGTGATGGTCATTATGATGGCTATGACGATCATGACGATGATGGTGGTGCGAATGATGATGGCAATGACGATGACGATGGCGATGGCGATGGCGATGGCGATGGTGAGGTTGATGGCGGTGGTGACGTTGATGGTGATGATGAAGCGGATGATGAGGAAAAGCAGGAGGAGATGGAAGAGGAGATGACAAGAAGGGAGGAGGAGGAGGAGGAGGAGGAAAAGGAAGAAGGTGGAGGGAAGGCGGTGGCGGCATGGCTGCGGTGGCGGCGCGTTGGAGACGACGACCACGACGACGACGACGACGACGAGCACCACGACCGCGACGACGACGGCGCTGACGACGGCGGGCCCGGCGACGGCGGCGGCGACGACGACGCGCGGCGGCGGCCCCGCCTGCCCGGGACCGGCGGGGTGGTGCGCCTCGCAGGGGCCGGGGGCGCTGTAGCCCATGCCGGGCCACGCCCTGCCGCCCCGCCAGGTGGAGGGGGCGCCGCTGCCGCGCACCGTCGCCGTGGTCGTCGTCGACGCGGTCGTCGTCGTCGTCGCGCCGTTGGCGTCGTCGTCGCCGCGGTGATCGTCGTCGGTCGTCGTCGTCGGCGTCGTGGTGGTCGTCGTCGTGGTCGTCGTCGTCATGGTCGGCCTGGTCGTTGTCTTCGTCGTGGGTCGTCGTGGTGGTCCTCGTCATCGTCGTCATGGTCGTCGACGTCGTGGCCGTCGTGGTCGTGGTCGTCATCGTGGCCGTCGTGGTCGTCGTGGCCAGAGGCCCCCAGCGCGCGCCAGGGGGACAAACCGAAAACATGGCGATCCCCGTTGGCGCCAGCAGCGACGTCGCGCTGCAGCGGCGGGGCCTCGAGTACTTCTGGTTACGCCGATTGTTGTTCGACTCCACCTCCTCTCACTCTCTCTTTCTCTCTTTCTCTTTCTCTCTCTCTCTCTCTCTCTCTCTCTCTCTCTCTCTCCCTCTCTCTCTCTGTCTCTCTCTCTCTCTCTCTCTCTCTCTCTCTCTCTCTTTCTCTCTCTCTTTCTCTCTCTTCGACGCAGGGGAATGGGTAAGGGAAACATTGGCACGGTGCCCAACAGCAAATGCTGATCAAGATCGATAGCGGCCGGCGTCGGCCAGGCGACCGCTTGCCTGCAGCGGGCAGCGCCCGCGGCGAACGCTGTTCAGAAGGCGCGGGTCCTGCTGTCGGTTTTGGTGCACAATGTTATACAAAGAAATTACCCTGCGACGTACCCAACCCAATGGCACCAAGTGGCAAGCGGAGTAGGGAAACATTAGCAGGAACCGTGACAGTGCAGGCGCGGCGATTTGTAGTGCGACCTACATGGGATGCGTAATGTTGCACGACTCACAGAACAGCAATCGATAAGACGAGGAGTATGTCTCAAGGCTTGTCAAACAATAGCGGGGGCGGGAACGAGGGACAGGAGAAGAACGAACCCAATAGGAAGGGGCGAGGAGCCATCGCAGCAGCAGCACCATGAATGCATAAGATAACAGGAGGACTAGGGCGGCGATGATGAAAGAGGAGGGAGGAAGCAAGAGACTGCTTCGTTTTTGCAGGAGTTCGGTCAACGCATGCCTGCCGCCTGTCCACAGGATCATACCTGTTTATATCTAGTGCAGGAAGCGATCGAGACCTAGCTCGCGCGCCAGCTTCTCTGCCTCCTTCCTGCATGCTGCAGTGCGGGAACTGAACTTCCGCAGTTTCTCCGCAAGGTCTGCCGGTGGGCCGCGGGCAAGAAAGTCAAGGCCGGGGTCGCGCACCATCAATAGGTTGTCTATCGTCGTCGCCCTGGACAGCATCACGTAGAGGTGCAGCCACAGAGCGTCCAGGTCGTTCGCATCCTTGCACCCTGCGTCAACAATGACTCCGCGGTGCATGGTGCGGCCCTGGCAGGCAGTGGACGTCAGGACCTCGGCGTGGGAGATGACGAAGCCAGTGCGCGTGACCTTGTACTTGCGGAAGTCGAACGGGCTCGAGCTCTGTGGCTCGATGAAGACGAGGCCCGCTGCGTTCGCAGCGTCGATGCTGTCATCGAGCTCCTTGAGCTTCTTTCCGCAGGGACCACCCTTGTACTTGTCCGTGCGCACCCACACGCCGTACGGCAGGTACCGCAGGTACGCCCGACCTCCCTCGGCCTTCGCTCTCCCCACCACGCCCTCATCCTTCGGGTTGATGGCCACGTGCACGACCTCGCCCTCGGCGTCATTGACAAGCCCCTTGCGGGACTGACCAGCAGCCTTCGAAAGTGGTGACAGTTTCACAGATCGCAGCCCCCCCCCCCCCAGGGATGGTGAGGTCTAATCTGAATCTGCGTGGTGCCTCACTCCGCTGGACCCACCAGCAGCCCTCGAAAGTGGTGACCGTTTCGCAGATCGCGGACCCCCAGGGATGGCGAGGTCTAATCTGAATCTGCGTGGTGCCTCACTCCGTTGGACCCACCAGCAGCCCTCGAAAGTGGCGACAGTTTCGCAGATCGCAGCCCCCCAGGGATGGCGAGGTCTAATCTAAATCTGCGTGGTGCCTCACCCCGCTGGACCCACCAGCAGCCCTCGAATGGGGCGACAGTTTCGCAACCAGCAGCCCTCGAATGTGGCGTCAGTTTCGCAGATCGCAGCCCCCCAGGGATGGCGAGGTCTAATCTGAATCTGCGTGGTGCCTCACTCCGCTGGACCCACCCTCAGCCCTCGAATGTGGCGACAGTTTCGCAGATCGCAGCCCCCCAAGGATGGCGAGGTCTAATCTGAATCTGCGTGGTGCCTCACTCCGCTGGACCCACCAGCAGCCCTCGAATGTGGCGTCAGTGTCGCAGATCGCAGCCCCCCAGGGATGGCGAGGTCTAATCTGAATCTGCGTGGTGCCTCACTCCGCTGGACCCACCAGCAGCCCTCGAAAGTGACGACAGTTTCGCAGATCGCAGCCCCCCAGGGACGGCGAGGTCTAATCTGAATCTGCGTGGTGCCTCACTCCGCTGGACCCACCAGCAGCCCTCGAAAGTGACGACAATTTCGCAGATCGCAAACCCCCAGGGATGGCGAGGTCTAATCTGAATCTGCGTGGTGCCTCACTCCGCTGGATCCACCAGCAGCCCTCGAAAGTCGAGGCCTAATCTGAATCTGCGTGGTGCCTCACTCCGCTGGACCCACCAGCAGCCCTCGAAAGTGACGATTGTTTCGCAGATCGCAGCCCCCCAGGGATGGCGATGTCTAATCTGAATCTGCGTGGTGCCTCACTCCGCTGGACCCACCAGCAGCCCTCGAAAGTGGTGACAGTTTCGCAGATCGCAGCCCCCCAGGGATGGCGAGGTCTAATCTGAATCTGCGTGGTGCCTCACTGCGCTGGACCCACCAGCAGCCCTCGAAAGTGGCGACAGTTTCACAGATCGCAGCCCCAAAGGGATGACGTAAAAGGCAAGAGAGAAGAGGAGGAGCGAAGAGAGGAGGAGAAGGGAAGCAAGAGAGGAGGAGCGAAGAGAGGAGAAGGGATGCAAGAGAGAAGAGGAGGAGCGAAGAGAGGCGGAGAAGGGAAGCAAGAGAGGAGAGGAAGAGGGAAGAGAGGAGGAGGAGGCGGGAAGGAAGGAAGGTGGAGACCGCAGTGCTCTATTCAAAACGAGTACCCAACGCAGGAGGGTTGGGAAAAAACCCTATAAGCAAAAAATGTTGGCGCTCCGCGCGGACTGCTAGGATCTGCGCTGGACCCCGAAAAACTGGCGCGCGGAGCGCGCCAGGGGGCGGCGCCGGAGGCGCCGCCGAGAGCATCAGCGCGGATCCAAGGAATCCGCGCGGAGCGCCAAAAGTGAATGTCTACAGTTGTTGTTCTTCTTCGGTCTCTCCTGGACAACATTCGACCGCACCGATCCCCTGGACAAGAGGAATCCCCCCCCACCCCCACCCCAGAGGAGCAGCCATAGGGGGGACTGGCAAAAGGAGGGACTGGCACACGCAATGAATACAGTGGAGGGGCCAGTCCACATGAAACCTTCCACAAGAAACCCAACCCTGAGACCCCAGGACGTCCATTGATTGTTTGTGTGGGAACGTCACGCTTCCCACACAAAAACCATCGAAACCCAAGACGCCCAGGGCACCCTGGAGGCGAGCAGGGTGTGTCTTGGCATGGGTCTCCAGTGTACACCACTTGTCGGGTCCAAGACCCGGATAGCAGGGTGCCAGAAGGGCGGAAAGGCCTGTCAAAAAACTCTGCAAGGACCTGGAGGAGAGCTTTCGAAGGACCTTCTGGAGAGTTTCCAGGCACGCGTATTGGGAAACGCTTACAAAAGGCCTCTGGGAACCGGCGGCAGGGTCAAGCAACCCCCGCCGGGGTGTGTGGACCGACGCCGTAACGATCTCCGGGGCTGCCCTGCCGCTCCGGCTAGTTAACCTGAACCCCTCCCAGGCCTCTACGAGCTTTCTGCGATTTTCGCGTCTTTGCCATCCGCCCCTATCGCTGTCCCTTGAGGAGGGACCGACCGTCCCAGCATTCCCATAGCCCTACCACGAAATGTTCCTAGAACCCCAAAGTGTTCTTAGAACAAAAGCAATGTTCTTAGAACATAGACCCGCTGTGATCAAACAAGACAGTCCCAACCAGAAATACTCTGAGAACTTCTCGTGGGAACCGCACAAGGTTCTTAGAACATTGTTTGGTAGGGCTCTAGGCGAGCCAAGACGCTTCGCCACTGCTGAACCCCTGAGCCCCCGCGCCCGGGAGGCTGGCCGGCGCCACCCTGCATGCCGGGCTGCCCGGACGCGTGGGGCACCTGCATGCCGCCGGGGCAGCCTCGGGAGCGCCACGCTGGCGCGGGGCCGCCGCAGCCGCCCTCGTGCTCGTAGTGGTCGTCGTCGTCGCCGTCCTCGTCGTCGTCGTCGTCGTCGTCGTCGTCGTCGTCGTCGTCGTCGTCGTCGTCGTCGTCGTCGTCGTGGCAGGCGTCAGCGTAGGCGTCGGCGTCGGCGTCGGCGTCGGCGTCGTCGTCGTCGTCTCCTGCTTCCTCGTCCCGCCACCTGCTCCTCCTCCTCCTCCTCCTCCTCCTCCTCCTCCTCCTCCTCCTCCTCCTCCTCCTCCTCCTCCTCCTCCTCCTCCTCCTCCTCCTCCGCCTCCGCCTCCGCCTCCGCCTCCGCCTCCGCCTCCGCCTCCGCCTCCGCCTCCTCCTCCTCCTCCTCCTCCTCCTCCCTCCTCCTCCTCCTCCTCCTCCTCCTCCTCCTCCTCTCTCCTCCTCCTCCTCCTCCTCCTCCTCCTCCTCCTCCTCCTCCTCTTCCCTGGCTCAGGCCGGTTGCTTGGGGGGGTTGGGTGCAGGCCTGCCTGCGATCCTCCTGCGCTCACCCTCCTGCGCTGAGACCAGCGCCCGCTGCAATAACGCCCGCCGCCGCCGAGGCTGCGTGGCACCACCGGGCGCGCTTGCACAGCGCGCAGGCCCGGCTCCCCCTGCACGCCTGGCATAGGCGTGCGAGCCCCCGGCTCGCCCTCCGCCTCGAGGCAGCGCGGCGCTTGCTGGACGCGCACCACGGCTCGCGGGCGCCAGCCATGCCGCCTCCCCAGACGCCCATCGGTGCGGCCCCGGGCCCATGGCACGGGCCAGGTGCGCAGTGGCATCCTCAGATGCTAGCCCCCTCAGGCCAATGGACGACGCTGCCGCCGATGCCGCAGTTCGCCCCGCCGCCCACGCCGCCGCAGCACCCGCCGCAGCGTCCCTCCCCTCACCCCCCCCCAGTAGATGCAGCAAGCCCCGCAGCCCTGGACTTGTCCCCAGTGCCGTTACCTCAGTGGGCCACAGACTTCTTACTGCTTCTTCAAGTGCTCACAGTGACGTGTGGAAGCCTAGTGCGGCCGACGTGAAGAAGGCCAAGACGGAGCAAAAGAAGGGGCAGAAGCGTGCCGAGCGCGAAGCACGGGCTGCCGAGACGGCGCCGGCAGCGACTGGTGCCAACGTTGCAGCTCCGGGCCGTGGCGGTCGCCAGCATGGCGCCGCAGCCGCCCCCAGGGCCGCAGCCCCAGGCGAGCTCGAGCCCATCCCCGAGGGCGACGAGGGCAGTGGCGGCAGCTCGGCGCCTGGCACGCCCACGCCGCTTCAGCTTCCCGCCCCAGGCACTCCCGCCCCAGGCGCTCCCGCCCCAGGCTCATCGCCGCTGACTACGGCCCCCAGCTACTCGCCGCTTCGCCCCGCAGCGCAGCCTTCGCCCTTCCGTGCGCAGATGGGCGCTGAAGCTGCGCAAGACGCCTTTGGCAGGCACCTCGGCGACTGGTCGCCGTTCGAGGCACAGGTGGCCGGCAGCCCTGTCGCTTTCGAGCCCCCGGCTGATGGCGACTTCGCCATTCAACCCGCCATGCCCGCAGCTGCCCAGCAGCACGTGGCCTGGGCACCCCCGCCCGCGGATCCATCCGCCTACGAGAGGCACCGTGTGCTCCTGAAGGCCGCCCTGCAGGCCACGGGCACGCAGCTGCTCACCGCTCAGAAGCTCCACGCCCCCCAGCCTCGGCTGACGGCGCTGGAGGAAGAGTATGCTGCCCTCCTGTGCCAGGTCATCATGGCCCGTCCTCATGAGGAACGCGTCCCCCAGCAGGCCGACTTCGTCCTTCGGGCCGAGGCCCGATTGGCCAAGGCCGAGCAGAGCGAGCAGGAGGTCCGCGATGAGCTCGCCTCCGCCGAGCGTCGCACCTCGGACTGCAAGGCCGCTCTGGCCAGTGCCAGCGAGATGTTGTCGCAGCTCTGGTTGATTGGTCCCTCCGAGGCGGAGACCCAGGCCAAGGCCAAGGCCGAGCGCCAGGCCACGGCCGACGCGGCAGCGGATAGCGAAGTCCCTCAGCATGACGAGGATGAGCTCATGGAGGAGCCCGACGACGGCAAGCACCGCCGCACAGGCACTGGGCCCAGCGGAGCCGCAGACGCCGCCAAGGCCGCCTCGACGCAGCTGCCCGTCACCGCGATCGCCTCCCTTCAGCAGGAGCAGTCGCAAGTGCGGGAGCAGCTCACACGGCTCCCCCAGCAGCTGCAGGTCGTCTCGTCCTCCCTTGGAGGGCCTGCACCAGCTGCCCCAGTTGCGCCTTCAGCCACTGCGTTGGCAGCGGATGCGGCCAAGGCCGCCCTGATCGCCAAGATGAGCCAGGCTGCCCCGCCCTCGGCTGGCCCGCCGCCGGCGCAGGCCGCCGCGGCCACTGTTGCAGCCGAGCCGGTGGTGAGGCCCCGCCCATGCCAGGCGCCCTTGCCCCTCGTGGACGCCGAGGCCCTGATCCTCGAGCTGTTGAGGAGGAGGAGGAGGATGAGGCGCCCGTCGACCCAGCGCTCGCGCAGTGCCCCCCCCCGCCGTCGGAGAGGCTGGGGAGGCGGATGCTGGTGCTATGATCGGCCCCGCCGATGAGTATCAGCCCGGCGCGCCTGCTCCGGCTCGCAAGGGCGACGCGGCGGCGGCAACAGCATCAGCGCCAGCAGCGGCCCCGCCCGCAGCCGACGGCCCTGTCAGAGTCGTCCGGGCTGAGGGTTGGCACCCGGGCATGGCGCCGCTTTTTGCGGCCGCCCTGGGGGCCTCAGAAGCGGGCTAGATGATCCGGAGCAGGCCGCTGCCGTCGTCGCGGCCTGCCCGCAGGACTCCGCACCCAGCAGCCCAATCCCAGATTGCGCGGATGTCCTTGACGCCATGCTTGCCCCCTGGCCCTTCCCAATATACCCCTTCGCCCCAGCACAGTTTGACGCTTACCTACACAGCAGCACCAAAGATGGTATAAGCCAGCTAAATCCAGATTTCTGCGTTGCAGATGAGTGCTGGGCCATTCACATATACACTGATGGTTCTGGGGGCTCCAATGTTACATCGCTGAAGGGGCCACCGTCGTGGTCCTTTGTTGTCTTTGGGGAGCTGGAGTCCAGACAACGTGTCTGTCTCGGGTTTCTGGCACAACCAGTTCCAGCACTTGCCGACCTCTTTGTCCAGCCTTCCACAGCAGCTGAGTTTGAAGGCGATCTCTGGGCTTGTCTCTGGGTGCTATCGCAGTCTTGGCATACACGTATCCCAGTCACCTTCCACACTGACAATATCATGGTAGTTCGTCAGGCACGTTGTGGCGCGTTGTTCCACTCTTGTGGCGACTACCCCATGTGGCTGGACGCCGCCACGCGGATCCTGCGAGCGCATTCGCCCTTGTTCGCTTGGCCGCATGTCGATGGCCACGCAGCACACCCGCGGAATGACTTAGCAGATGCATTGGCAGCACCTGCGTCGCAGGGCTTGCTTGACCTTCCTGTTGCGTTCTCTCCCATCGCGCCCTTGCAGTCAGCAGGCCCGCGTCTGTCTTGGACTTGGACTGCGGCAGCGGCAAGGGCCTCCGACCGGAGCCTGCCCCCCTCGCCCCCTGCCCGACTGCCACCCCCACTGAGGATTTGCCGCATCTCTGAGATTTCCTGGCACCCCTCACGCAGATCGGCGGGGTCAGGGTCCAAAAGCACAACGGATTTGCCACATCTCCGAGATTTCCTGGCACCCCTCACGCAGATCGGCGGGGTCAGGGTCCAAAAGCACAAGGGAATTGCCACATCTCTCAAATTTCCTGGCACCCCTCACGCAGATCGGCGGGGTCAGGGTCCAAAAGCACAACGGATGTGCCGCATCTCTGAGATTTCCTGGCACCCCTCACGCAGATCGGCGGGGTCAGGGTCCAAAAGCACAACGTATGCCATCTCTGAGATTTCCTGGCACCCCTCACGCAGATCGGCGGGGTCAGGGTCCAAAAGCACAACGGATGTGCCGCATCTCTGAGATTTCCTGGCACCCCTCACGCAGATCCGCGGGGTCAGGGTCCAAAAGCACAACGGATTGCCACATTTCTGAAATTCGGTGCCACCCCTCACGCAGATCCGCGGGGTCAGGGTCCAAAAACACAAGGGACATTGCCACATTTCTAAAATTCGGTGCCACCCCTCACGCAGATCGCGGGGTCAGGGTCCAAAAGCACAGGGGATTTGCCACATTTCTGAAATTCGGTGCCGCCCCTCACGCAGATCCGCGGGGTCAGGGTCCAAAAACACAACGGATGTGCCACATCTCTGAAATTCCTGGCCACCCTCACGCAGATCGGCGGGGTCAGGGTCCAAAGCCAAGGGAATGTGCCACATCTCTCAGATTTCCTGCACCCCTTCCGCAAAGTGATCATCGGCGGTCAGGGTCCAAAAGCACAACGGATGTGCCACATCTCTGAGATTTCCTGGGCACCCCTCACGCAGATCGGCGGGGTCAGGGTCCAAAAGCACAAACGGAATTTGCCACAATCTCTTAAATTTCCTGGCACCCCTCACGCAGATCGGCGGGGTCAGGGTCCAAAAGCACAACGGATTTGCCACATCTCTGAGATTTCCTGGCACCCCTCACGCAGATCGGCGGGGTCAGGGTCCAAAAGCACAACGGATGTGCCGCATCTCTGAGATTTCCTGGCACCCCTCACGCAGATCGGCGGGGTCAGGGTCCAAAAGCACAACGGATTTGCCACATCTCTTAAATTTCCTGGCACCCCTCACGCAGATCGGCGGGGTCAGGGTCCAAAAGCACAACGGATGTGCCTCATCTCTGAGATTTCCTGGCACCCCTCACGCAGATCGGCGGGGTCAGGGTCCAAAAGCACAACGGATGTGCCGCATCTCTGAGATTTCCTGGCACCCCTCACGCAGATCGGCGGGGTCAGGGTCCAAAAGCACAACGGATTTGCCACATCTCTGAGATTTCCTGGCACCCCTCACGCAGATCGGCGGGGTCAGGGTCCAAAAGCACAACGGATGTGCCGCATCTCTGAGATTTCCTGGCACCCCTCACGCAGATCGGCGGGGTCAGGGTCCAAAAGCACAAAGGATTTGCCACATTTCTAAAATTTCCTGGCACCCCTCACGCAGATCGGCGGGGTCAGGGTCCAAAAGCACAACGGATTTGCCACATCTCTTAAATTTCCTGGCACCCCTCACGCAGATCGGCGGGGTCAGGGTCCAAAAGCACAACGGATGTGCCGCATCTCTGAGATTTCCTGGCACCCCTCACGCAGATCGGCGGGGTCAGGGTCCAAAAGCACAACGGATGTGCCGCATCTCTGAGATTTCCTGGCACCCCTCACGCAGATCGGCGGGGTCAGGGTCCAAAAGCACAACGTATTTGCCACATCTCTGAGATTTCCTGGCACCCCTCACGCAGATCGGCGGGGTCAGGGTCCAAAAGCACAACGGATTTGCCACATGTCTGAAATTCGGCGGCACCCCTCACGCAGATCGGTAGGGTCAGGGTCGAAAAACAAATAGGTCCCGACACTGCTTCACGGCAAAGCCAAAGCCTCATGATTTCGCTCTTCCATGGTCCATTCTCCGAGAGAGGGGGCCGGCGGCAGGGGGCGAAGCCCGTACGGATAACAAAAAAGTCCCCAGACTATGTTTTGACTATGTTTGAATATCCGCCGACCCTGTCGGCGTGTGCGAGGGGCTTGGCTGTTCGAGTCGTCGTCTCCGTCGGTCGTCGCCTCCGTCGTCCACTTTCCCTGCAGCTTCCTTCTCAAGCTCGTGAGCGAGAGAAAAATCTAGCAGTGTCGTAATCGAGTCGAAGGGAAGCCCCTTCCCTTCGATCCCTTCCCCAGGGGGGGGGGTCCGGGGGGGTCCCGGGGGGGGTCCCGGGCCGGGGGGTGTCCCGGGGGGGGTGGGGGGGCAGATTCGTTTTCCCTCGGGCGGCCTAGAAACCTCGAAAACACTCCAAATGAGGTCCGAATGCCCAAGATGGCCCCCGAGACGGCCCAAGAGGGCCCCGAGTCGCCCAAAGATCGGCCGAAAACGCCCACGATAGCGCCAAGACCGTCCAAGAAGCCTCCAAGACGTCCCAGGCCCCCTCCAAGAGAGTCCCAGGAAGACCCAAGAGGCCCCCACGAGGCTTCCAAGCGGCCCCTGAGAGCTTCCCAAGAGGCCCACAAACTACCCCCAAGAGGCCCCCAAGAGCGCTCGTCGTCGTCGTCGTCGTCGTCGTCGTCGTCGTCGTCGTCGTCGTCGTCGTCGTCGTCGTCGTCGTCGTCGTCGTCGCCATTCAGGGTCGGCGGCACCGGCCGTAAGGCCTTCGCAATTCCCCCTGTAGAGGGTCAGTCCACAAGAAACCATCCACAAGAAACCCAAGTCTGAGACCCCAGGACGTCCCTTGATTTTCGGTGTGGGAGCGTCGCGCTCTCCATCGCAAGACCATCGAAACCCAAGGAACCCAGGGCAGCTCGGAGGCAAGCAGGGTGTTGCTTGGCATGGGTCTCCTCTGTACAG